CCCACATAGAATCAGCTACATTCTTTCCAAGACCTTGAAAAATATTTTCAATTGTTTTTAACAGTAAATATAGTATAAAAGTGTATATACATATATAGATATATAGCATCTAGAAATCATGAAACTTACCTATACAATAAAATTAATTTCTAGAACTACAAAAAGTCACACCAAGATCAACTGAAAATATTTTCAGCTAGAGAAGCTGTCCGAAGAATAGCAATCAACAAAACATCACGTACACTACACACACACATGCATGGCCTCTCCAGCAGCTTCCCACCTTATTTTTCTCATGTTTAAGCCATCTTATCGTGTATCAAGCTACTTAAACTCTACATTCAATTTAAGATTTAAACTTTTGACTATATAGCAGTCATACCATTTTATTTCAAACGGTTACAAGTACTTACAGCACTGAGTGACAGCCCCAGCAGTGGTCAAATCCCTGTACTCTCTGTACATGTTGTGAGTTCCGCTACGAGAATCATAGCGTAGCCAAATGCCAAAATTTTTTACCCTCAGAGGGGACTTCTCATACACCTGGAATTACACAAGGGCACAAAAATAGTTAAGAATTGGTATATACCATCAGCATTTTATAAGCCTAAGAATAAATGTTACAGCTCTAATGAAAGCAATACAGATAATTTAAGTGTCCAGGACAATTACTTGCCAAAACAACATTCTTCCTGTGTGATTACAGCTATGGTAAATTCTCTGATAATTCAATGTGGAAATGAAAACATATTTAGATTTCAACTCTTAAACGCTTTCAGAAAATACGGAAGAGTGTACTTCTAGCACTAAATGGTAAAGTATAAGCATGCAAGCATCTATTTTCCAAGAATTATGAACACGGTCCAGATAGTTCTTAAGATCTATATGCCACAATGAAGCAAGCATGAGTACTAGACATCACTTATCAACCATAATGAGAGATTTTCATCACATTTCTGTAGTGTTGCGGATGAAAGTTTTTTTTAAGTTTTATTTGACATACGCAAACAGGGAGTGGGAAGCTGTCCGGCTCTACAACAGCGGAAAGTGAAGAAAAGTCACCTTCTACAGTACTTTACACAAATGCAAAACAGACAAGGAAACCCCCCAAGGCCCCCGGGCCCTTTCGGCGCACCTGCCCGCAGTACACGATCTCCCCGGACGACTTCTTCATCTTCTTCAGCTGCGACACGAAGTACCAGAAGCGGGACTTGGCCACGACGTGGTTGGGCGCGAAGATGCGCATGCGGTAGAGCGGCGGCGTGCGGCACTTGGGCGTGGGCAG